GAGGACATGGCTGGAGCAGGAGCAGCAAGGGTGCAACGTGGCTCTGAAGTAGGCCAGTGTCAGCACTAGTCAGGTTAATTTAGATGGAGCTAACTGAGAACTGCCCAGCTAAGAGCCTGAAGCTTATTAATAAATGTAACAGGTCTCTGTGTCATTATTTGGAAGCTAACGTGGGCACAGAAAAGCCCATACTTATAATTTTACATTTGGCGCCCAACATGGGGCACAGAATCCAGAAATCCAAGCTTAGAACAAAAGGCTCGAGTGTTAGGAAACTCCTGCGTGTCAGGCAGAAATAGGCACTCCCCAAGAACAAAGGCAGCTTCCTCGCAAGTTAGGAGCGGGAGCCTGGGAGAGTGCAGAGAGTCTGAGTGGAAGGCAGCTCCTCTAGAGCCTCTACTGAGCAACAAAGCCAGCTGCCAGGTAGGGACAGGATGCTGAAGCCAAGTGCATTTCACAGGTGCAACTCCTCAAGAGCCCCTGCTGTGCCACCAAGCACTGACCATGGCCAGGAGCTAACCCAGTTGGCAGGTCCTGGAACTGCACCGTAGTCTTCTCTCAGGCTTTCCCCAAGAACATTGGCACAAAGTGGGCGGGGCCAGGGGCACAACCGGTGGCAGCCAAGAAGTCCCTGCCTTGGGAGACGGTCCAGTGAACACACCCTGTCTCCCCTGCGCAGCCGGACCTGGGTGGCCTTGCACTCTCCGTGCTGAGAGAGAGCTGCATGAGGTGCAGCTCCCAGTTGTGCCCACAAACAAAAGGTTTGGCTCTCTCATAAGAGTGCAAACAGCAGCTCAGCCCACGACAGGGCCCAGGCAGAAGGAGGGCAAAACAGCATCCCACTTGGAACCAGCTGCACCCTGTGGCCAGTGCAGCCACTGGTACCTACTAGGAGCTAGCTGAAGGGCTGGGACAGAAAAACCACTGCACTGTGCTGAGCTGGATAGAAGAGACATCAGGCAGATGAAACCCAGACCCAAGCACAGCCAAACCTCTGATCAGGTGATGATGTTCAGAATTATGCTGAAATGGTAAAGAAAAAAAAAAGAGACTGGGTATAAAAAATCATAGAGAGCTATAAATAATTTGAAATTAACAAAATTAAAAGAAATAAGACATGTAGGAAAAAAAACAATAAAACAGAGCTTTTGGACACTATATAACGCCATCTTAGATGGCTTAAAAAACAGAGACAGAAAGGAGGCAGAGGCCCTAACTCCTCTCCATTTCCCTCCTCCAAATAAACATCCTTATACTAGGGGGTAGCAGTGTATGTGGGGGGGGGGAAGCCAGGCAGTGGTGGCATACACCTTTAATCCCAGCACTTGGAGGCAGAGGCTGGTGGATCTCTAGGAGTTCCAGGACAGCCATGGCTACACAGAAAAAAACCCTGTCTCTACCTCCCCCCCCACCCCAGCCAAAAAAAGAACAGAGCATCATCTTTAGCTAAATTGTACACACTGCACATTCCATACAAGTGTTAATGCAGACATGTATATTACCTTTAACACTTCATGTGTTTTACATAGCAAAAAGACCAGGCACCAAAGAAGACAAGTAGCCCAGAAAATCCTGCCTCACAGACTGCCTCACTAGCTGTTTCCTCAAGAATCTGCATCCAGGACAACTTCTATATGGCTAGCTAGATCATCCAGCCTCAGACTTCCAGCCGGGACTTCAGTTCAGCCCAGCACTTTCCCGTCACTCAGAGACTGGACAGCAAATGAGACAGTTAGCTCTCCCAGGACTTGGACGTTTTCCCAGTTTTCTTGGGCCCCCCAAAAGAAATTGTCTCCCCAAGACAACAGAAAGCAATTTTAAGAGACTGATACCCCGTCCTCAAAAAAAAAATGGGGTGGCTGGTTTTTGGTCATTCAGCGGGTGATGGGTGTTTGTCATCATTTAACTTGTTAGTCACAAGTTGTTAATGGTCTTAAAGCAAAGAATGTTAGATTCAGGGATCTCTCTTTTTCTTTCCTTCTTTCTCTCCTATTTAGTGTTAAAGGGAAAAGGGGGGAAGAAAAAAAAAGAAAAAAGGGGGATTACAGAAATGATAGGATAAAATGGTATATTATTGAATCTACTTTTAAAATAAGGAGCATCAGCAAGCCAAAAAATTTACATTGGTATGGATCTTTGTATATTGATAAAGATTTTTGTTATAACATACTGTGTGTATATTTCAACTCTTGTTTAAGGGATTGTACCTCTGCAACTCATTTAAAAATATAATGTGGAGTTCTAGTCTTTGAAAGTTGCTATTATAAGCTGTTTAAGATAATTAAGAAATGCAATAGTCACTCAGACTTATGGTCATGTTAGGTGCTAGTTTAGTTAATCACAGAAACAAGTTTCATTTAGCCTCCTGTACATGTTTTCAAAGTTAATCATATGGTAAATAGCTAGAAACAAGCAATGTTTCTGTTCAGATATGCTATAAATAGATGGCATTCAACACCTCAGAGAATATGGCATTTAAGGATGTTTTATTAATGAAAGTATCTTCTGACATAAGACATGTCAGCTCCTGGCAGCATCCTCAGCCTACTTCAAAGAAGACGATGGGCACCAAAGAACCTCCATATGGAGTTTGCATCAAATGTGGCAAGCTTAGCCACTGGCTAAGAAACTGCCCTTGCCTCAACTGCAGACAGCATGCTGGACAAACTGGACAAACTGGCAGGGAAGTAGACTGCCAAGCTTTGCAAAGCCAAGGGGAGGCAGTCCTTCATAATTCCTGCTTCACAGAAAATGCTGACGTATACTCGGCCAGAAGGCAGAAGATGATGCCCCAAAGTAATAGAGAAACCTTGGGCGACTGTCCAGGTAGCCAGCAGTCTCTGTCATTTCTGTAGTTTTGGAAGCTGCTTGCTCTGCCCTGCCTGTCTACTCAGGTAATATGTATCCTCCTCAGATCTCTGATGGGGTTGAGGACTAGATAGTTATAGCCTCACAATTAAGCTTAAGCTGTTTAGGATTTTAAAAAAAGTTTTAAGATCTAAAAAGAGATTTCTAGTTTGATAAATGCAAGTTATGATTTAAGTATAAAACTTTAAACTCACCAAAATAGGATAGATAGACTACTTTCTCCAAGGTTGCCAAATACAAATGGACTGGACATTTGTGACTGTAAGTCTTAGCTGATAGTTTTCATAATCATTCTTATTGTATATAGTTTATTAATGTAAGAGAAAGATCCTTTTATTAGACTAAAAGGGGAAAGTTTTGTGCACTGATTTCTGTACCCAGAGACCTGGCTGCAGTCAGGATGTTGGCATTCTCATTATTATTGAAGCATCCCCTGTCTCAGTGTTGTGTAAAAATTGTTCTCCACCACCTCTGATTGTATAATAAAGAACTGAACAGCCAATAGCTGGGCAGGAGAGTTAAGGTGGGATTTCTGACCCCAGGAAGGAGGACATGGATTGAGCAGGAGCAGCCAGGGCAAAACTAGTTGGCAGTTAAGGGGACACGTGGTTGGGAAGTAGGCCAGACCAGTATAATCAGGTTAGAACAGATGAATATTTGTCTAGCTTGAAGTCCTCCACAGCTCTCCTCACCCCTTATCTGATGCCACAGAAAGAAGGCCACAGCTTTGTCATCTACACAAAGGATGTGCAGCTCTGAGGACAGTGAATTTTAGAAGATGCCAATGGCTGTGCAGAGCCATGCCAAGCAGAAAGCTCCTTCCCATAAAGTGTTTGAACAACAAACAAATGGCTTTCTGGGGAGCGCTCAGTGACACTGCAAGGGTTCTAAATTCCCCCTGGAAGAATGACAAGTCTTACATTTAGCAACCTCCACCGATGAGCTCAGAACAATACTTTTCAAGCAAATCTCCCTTTGTTTAACAAAGACAGACAGGTGGAGACACTGTCTGTGGCAGGTTAAAAGTGCCTTGCTTGGGTGGTGGTGGAGGGCACCTTTCATCCCAGCGCTCAGGAAGCAGAAGCAGGCAGATCTCTGAGTTTGAGGCCAGAAAGAAATACCTCACTAGACAGTTCTGGTATGGACATCACCTGAAGCATGACAAAAGTAACGCTCTGTCACTGCATTGTAAAAGGTGAAGAGTAACGAAATGAGAGAAAGGGGAGGTGTTGGCTCAAGAAAACGCCTTATTAGGCAGGTGAGGTCAGATGGTAATCCAACTCAGAAGCACCCAAATGTTGTCTTTTGCTTGTTTGTTTGTTTTTGAGACAGGGTCTTTCTATGTAGCCTTGGTTGTCGTGGGCTCACTTTGTAGACCAGGCTGGCCCCCAACTCACAGAGATCCATCTGCCTCTGCCTCCCTGAGTTCTAGGATTACAGGCGTGCACCACCACACCCAGCCTGAAATAATTTAATAAAAGACAACCTTCATTTGGGTTTTTCAAAAGGCCCACGTAACCTCCATCTAAAGATTCCAAAGTTGTCTTAAGAGTCTGTGGTCCTTCGGATTCCTTCTTTGGCCCTCCTCACCCTTCCCCTTCAAGGCCTAACCCACTTTTCACTCTCACCACTGTCTAACCACACCCTATGCTCTCCCCCAGAATGCGCCATGAACGTTCTCTTCCAACCCACAGGGAGACGACAAGAATCCAAGAGCAAGCGCTTGGATGCCCCCACAGCCTCAGGCAGAGTGATGTAGAAATCACTCCAAGTGTTAACATAAGCATTTTGTACTCTCTATATTAATTTTCTGTTATTATCCTGAGTTGGGGCCAAGGGGGTAGCTGAGAGAATTAGCACACTAACCCAACACAGGCACAGCTTTGGGCTTGATCTCCCATTTCAAAGAACCATTTTAAAAAGCCCTACAATTGCACACCTTCTGTCACCATTCTCTACACACAACATAACAACCTCGCCCACAGCAAGCACACGGGGTCACATGGAGAAGTCACAGGGGAGGCAGAGCTCTTCTTTTTAAAGAAAACAGGATTTCAGTACTCTCGACCGACACACCAGTTGGCTGGTCTTTCTCCCCAGCCAAGCACGGGCACAGCCACGTGGTTACTCACTGGAGTTGAGGAGGATCATGGCCTTCACACAGAGATACTCTTTGTGCTGGAGTTTTAACTCACGGAACCTTGACGTCGTCGCCAGGAGCATGTCAAAGATCTCCAGAATGCCTTCCACGCACTTGCCCTCATCCCTGCAAGAGTTCATTTGGGAATTGAAGGAACACACAGTGTTAGGCGGACATCAAAGAGCCATCATCTCAGGTGTCATCTTGCGCGCCCTCCGACTATACTGAGGAATTAGGGAGACCAAGCTTAGCAGCCAGAAGTCACTGACACTGTGTCCATACAACAGAAACAAGGTATGACTTGGTGGAACTCCTGCCTAGCTTTCGTAAGGCTGTGGGTTAAATCCTTAGCCCTGGAGGGGAGGGGACTAAGAGGGGGAGGGGCATTTCCTAGAAATTCTCAAACAGTGTTCGAGGCAAAAGTGAGAATGGGGGCTGCCTGTTTCTTTCTACTTGTTATGTAAGAGCCTCTCGAAGACATTAACACTCCTGTGGCTTATACACAAACCATTGCAGTCAGCCAGCCCTGCTGGAAATGACTCAGTATTAAAGAGGGAGATCCCACACACCCAGCAGGAAATGCTGCTGAGGGAGACTGTCAGAACCAAATATTTCAAGAAAGACAAGCTTTCATATATCATCTTCATACTTGGAGCCGAATTTAGAAACTGGTCTAGGAACCAAGAGACATTTAGATGGCATTTAAAGAAGGCAGATGCGACACACAAAGAAATGACACTTGAAGGTGGGTTCGTTAGGGAAAGAAGACAGACATGGGGGCAGGCTGCTGAGGTGGGGTTTTTGTTTGTTTCGTTTTTGTCTTGTTGTTGTTGTTGTTTGTTTTGTTGAGGCAGGGTCTGGCTGTGTAGCTGGTCTCCCCACCTCCACCTCTGAAATGCTGAAATTACAGACATGTGCCCAGCCTGAAGAAGGTTTTTAAACAAAGGTTTCAGACAAGCCTTTTAAGCATGCCTGACGGGAGTGAACTGTTTCGTCTGCCTTTGGAATGAATTTATACATGAACCGGAGAGCACCGGTTTCTAGTCACACTGGCTCACTGCTCTCAAAAACTGTTCTCTTCAGCTGCAGAGCCCCCGGAGATCCTTGACTAGCAGTTAGATGGTTTTGCCACAAATTCTCCCAGCTCCTGAGAGCCGGCAGCAGGCACCGAAGGGCACCATGGCAGCGATGGGTGCAGGCAGGGCCTGCTTTTAATCTCTCAGCAGACTAAGGAGAAGGGCTGAAGTCAAACAACAGCAACAACAAACAACAAAACAACAACGGACTGCTCACTGTCTCCTGTCACCTCTAGCGACTGTGATAGTCCAGAGACTGTGAGTCACACGGAGCGACACCACCGGAAACCACCAGTCTTGCCTACAGGGACTTAGGTGTGACAGCAACTCATTAGGACCCTGCATTCCACAGCACTCAGAGCCCGCACGGGCTCACCCACACAAGCGTGCAAACGCTCACTTTGGCCGATCAATACACCCCATCTTCACACCTCCCCTAAACCTCCTCCTCGGCTTTGAGTTCCTGTAAGGGTGGCGGAAGCCCGGAACACAGCAAGCGGAGAGGAGATGCCCGGCCACTGAAGGCTCCTCAGGCCGAAGCCTCACAGCACTCCACACGTTGAAGGATCATTACCTACAACTGGAAGCGCTGAGCTCCGAGATGCTTAACACCTGGAGAAGCTGGTCTTAGAACATCGCCAAAGAGGAAACGCACAGACACTGACTCTTACACCGATGTTTTCATTTTGTTCTGCTTTTTTTTTTTTTCTTTTTGAGACAGAGTCCAACTGTGTAGCCCAGGCTAGCTTCAAATGTGTGAGCCTATTGTCTCCACCTTCCCAGGACTAGCATAGGTGTGGGCCATCACGCACAACTGTGCATTGATGGTTTAATAGTTTGACTCTTGATACTTCTGCAAAAGTCAAATTCAAGTGCACAGTTGTGTAACGCACACACACACACACCACACACACACTTCCCAAAGGGATAAATCAACTCAGCCAAAATCAATCTTATTATCTAGAAGTTTCTACCCATGCCAAAAAAAGCCTCTAAATATAGGGACTAATATCCCCCCATTTCCTTATTGAAAACAGTTCACTACAATAAAATTAACATTCCAAAACTGAGTTGTTTAGGTGTTGGGGCATCTGAAGCCCTGACAGACACTGTGACTTCAAGTGGCCTACACGTGCTCCTCACAGAAAAAGTCCAGGCTAAACTAAAGGACCAGGCCTGACTAGTTCCTTCCAGGAGGTGGGGACAGGCAACCAGTTCATCTCTCACGCAGGCTTCAGGTGTTTTCAGTGACATCACAGCCTACAAAAACCAGACACTTTTTTTTTTTTTTTTTTTTTTTTTTTTAGAAAATGGAGGAGCCACGTAAGAACAGAAAGTGCAACTCCTGGCTTCCTAACCCCATAACCTCCTAAGCGCACCTCATAACCTCCTGCTTTGAGATGCAGAAAAAAGGGGAGGGGATGGGGACATTCGCAAGCTGACAGCGTCCACGACATTCAGTAGGGACACAAACTGAGTTATGAGTAAAGGGCTCAGGACAGGACTGAGAGATTGGCGTTAAAGACAGAGACGTTGGAGTGTTAGAAAGCGCTGGTCAGATCAACCTATTTATAGAAGTGTGCTTTGAACCAGTGCCACGTAAAGTTAGTAAAAACACCCTATCCTGTTTGCTACAACAACGAAATATACTGAGTGGGTTTGTCTTGCTTCGGGGTTGCCTATTTTCCACCTGCATCTACAGCTGCTGGTTGCACACCAGTTCATCTCTGGAGGCATAGCAGCTGGACCCGGTTTGTGTAAAGGGTCTCAAGTTATGGCTTAGCACATGGGGGAAACTTCGTAAGCGTTTAACCAAAATGAAAATGCTCGGCTAAAAGGGTAAGGTAAAGTTTAGGGCCTTCAAGAGAATACAGCACAGCGATACTGAATGTGAGTGCGGCCCATGAGGGCATTCAAAATCACAGGATCCCAAGAGCCCCGTCGGTGTTCCCAGTGGGGTCCCAGCCAGGCTCCAAATGTCCTCCACAGTCCAAGACGGTTTCCTGTTGACACTGACACAAAAAGTCTCAGCATGCATTTTTTAATTTAAATTACATTTTGTGTGTGTGTGTGTTTGTGCATGTGTGAATATTGTTGCAGAGTCAGTTCTCTCCTTTTATCGTGTGAGTCTCAGGAATCAGGCTCAGGTCAACAGTCTTGATGAAAAGCTCCTCTACCCACTGAACCATCCTGCCAGCTACATATGCATTTTGGGGGCAAATAGAAGCTCGGGTTCTAAAACAGATCTTCACATGAATCCACGTTTCTAGTGGACGCCAGATTGTTACAAATAAGCCCAAATCACCGGGTTTCCTCTCGTTCTCAGCACATTCAGGGGTTTGGTTTTGTTTTGTTTTGTTTTCTGTAGAGATCTCGGCTAGAATAAATGGCACAGGTAGGGGTCTGAAACCAGTGTCTGCTCAGCAAGCACGGAGGCTCTCGGTTTTGTTCCCAGCACCAAGAGTAAACAAACAACAACAAAAAAACCAAATAAATATTGATAGACTAAGATGAATCTCCTAAAATAATTTTTAAGAAAAACTTTCTTTTCTTTTCTTTGGGACAGGGTTAGGTTACGTAGCCCACGATAGCCTTGAATTTATGATTCCCTTGCTTCAGCACAGTGCACAGGTTACAGACACATGTGGCCAGAGCCAGGTTTTGTTTATCAGCTATCTAAGGGGTAGGCATGATGTTTATGAGGCTTGGGGTTCCTTACAGTAACACATTCAGTCCTCTAAGGATTAAAGAACCCGGATGGAGAAAGGGGAGGGCTAAATTTACCCTGGTACATGTTCCCCACTGAGACTCGGTTACTGAAAGGCCACATTTGGCGTCCCTCTAGAAACTGAAACAAAAAGCAACATAATTTTAACCCCAATATGCCCCAGTGGGTGGAACAGCTAACGTAGCAGGATTACGTGTATGTGTTTGTGCATGTGTGTTTGTGAAGCAGGATGAATGAACGGGGCAATGGCCTGCCTGGGTATTTGGCCTTTGACAACCCTGAGGTGACACCTAGAAGCCTGTTTCTGAAGCGGGTAGGTCCTAGGGCTGTGTGCTAAGACAAAAAGGGTAAATTATGAAACCACTTTGCCTTTTGCCTCCTCGTTTCCCTTCCCATCCTCTTTCCCACGGGGGTAATGCGCCGTGCGTATGGACTTTAGGACAGATCCCCGAGTCTAGCTCTGTCACATACTACCAGCAGCTGTCAGTCAGTTGCTTCACTTCCCATTTCCTAAAGTAAAGAGCTGGGACGATCAAAGCTCCAGAAGGGCTTTCGGAAAGATTCAATAAGGCGACACACAGCAAGTGCTTAAGGTGGTACCCGGCACATACCAGCTACTAAGTTGGCCATCTGAATGGTCCCTGAGGGGTCTGGTACCTGCCCCACTGCTCTGGCCCTCCAGAGCCTCCCTCTCTTCACCACCTGGGCTTGCTCGTGCTCAAGCCATATCCCAGGCTTCAGCTCTTCCCACGGGATCTGCTCTCCACCACAACACCTCCGTTACTCAGAACAGTGTTCTCTGGCAATGCCATCCATGACAACGGGCAGAATGGATACCTTGGGGCGGCACTCTTCGTCAGCGCAACGTGCCAGTGAGGGTCCTCTGATGACCTACAGTGGCAACAGGGTTACGATGCGAGAGTTGGCGCGTGCACTTCCGGTCCACAGCACCAGGCAGCCTCCTGCTCAACGCTAGCTAGCACTTTCTCCCTGGAGGTTTCTCAGGCCACTCAGAGGAGCACCAAGAGGTTTCCGTCTTTCCTATCACAGAGCTCGACAGCTGTTGGCTATCCCAGTTTATCTTCCAGAAGCAGGGCAACTGAAACCAAGTTTAGTACCCGCTCTGTGCCATCTTTAAAAGAAAACTGAGTGCAATCAGCTTGGGGACATCGGCACTGGTCGCGTCCCGGTGTCCTTTGACTTTCGTTTGGCCTTAATAAAAAAGCCCTCCCGCCACATGTTTGGGGGGAAAAATGCTAGTAAAGATAAGTGATACTATTAGCATTAAAGGTCTAGCGAGTGAAAATAAATTTGGAAGGGTCAAAGGAATTTTCATCACCTATCCAGAGATGTGACTGGTCACTCAGCAGCAGGGTGACTTAAGAATATAATCTGAGAACAGAATTTTTAATGAAAAAAAAAAAAAAAACCTATGTTGACTCGGTGGCCAATAATCGCAGGATTCAGTGCCCTGCCACAGCCCAGGCTAATGGCGGTTGATGCACCGCTGATTAAAATGGATCATGGAAAATGAATTCCATGCCCATGCCCTCTTCTTCTTGGGCTCTTGACCCCATGGAGGAGTGGTAGATGGCGTTATCATCCTCCAATTGCCCTTTCAGGTGGGAGAATTTAATTGCAGCACCTAGGAATCTGTTTCCACTGACTTAGTTTAGTCACACAGATCCGAGATGAAATACAACATTTTTTGTTTTGTTTTGTTTTGTTTTGTTTTTTTCCCTCACCTGTCCAGAACGAGGTCTGGAGCAAAGATGAGCTTGCCGGGGTGGTCGATGGAGCGCCACATCAGCCCCACCATCAGCACCTCCATCCAGCAGCTTTCCAAGAGCCGGACTTGGTCCAGCAGGCTGAGCTCCACAAAGCCTGGGGAAACAAGAATCCATTAAACACACCTCCCTCCCCCTCGGCAAGCCATTTCTGTAAGTGCTGGGGAAACCCAGACTACATGGAGAAGGGATCAATCAGTGTTCCAAAGAGCTGATTAAATGTTAGTTAAAAAGGACCTGAGCTGTGTGGTTTGCAGTTTCCAGCCTCCAACTCCTTCAGAAAACAAGCAAACTCTGTTTAGTATTTCTAAAGAGCCATTGGCTCCCCACACAGATGCTAGGAAGGACCCAAAAGGCAGAGCTGAGTCTGGTTAGCTGTGGCTGTGCTATCCTGATAATTCCTGTGCCTTGCTGAGGAAGCCAAAGCTCACCTGTCAATCAGAAGGACTGCCTGTCTACCCCAGTCTGTGGTTTGGAGGGTGGATGGGTCGGGTAGCTAGAGTCTAGATGGCGTGGGGGCGGAAGGTAAGCCTTGGCAGAAAGCCAAGGCTTCAACTGAAATAGTTTTTCTGACTGTGTAACGTTTCCCATGCAAAGTTTAGGACAGTTCTGGGTAGAAGGGCTGTCTCTAGGTGAGTCTATCTAAAGAGAAGAGATAACAGCCAAAGCAAGTTGACACTCTGATGGCATGAATTAGCCACAGCACTGGAAAGAAACACAAAATCTCTAGGGGAATGAATCCCTTTAGTACAAAGCAGAGGGCACGGGAGCGTCTTCCATAACCCACAATAAGAAGAGGGGGCTTCGAAATATAAACAGAGTAGTCAAAGGCATGGCCTTGGGGCGAAATGGATTCTGGTTTTGAGTATCAGCTTAGTCCCTTCCTAACTAGTAATCGCGTGTGCAGTTGTGCATATGTGTGGGACTTGAGCATGCTTGCAGGTGTTCTACCCCTGAACTACATCCCTAGCCGCCCTCGTGTCAAATCAGTTGTTCTTGTGGGGAACAAAAAAAATAGAAGGGGTCTTCCCTCCTCCTGAGAATTTACTACAGTTAAGATCACTTATAAATGTTTTACCCGTGCTACTGCAGTGTAAAGCCACGCATGCGCAAAGCCTCAGATAATGGTCCTGTACTTGTGAACGACGGAGAAGTGAATGGAGCATGAATGTAAAGATGGACAAATCCAAAGCTGGGGAGATGCCCAGTCAGTAAAGCGCTTGCCAGGACATGGTGAGGACTTGAGCCGGATCCTCAGTACCCACGTAGCATGCACCCATAACGCCAACATGAGAGAGAAAAAGACAGAAAGATCTCTTGGGCTTACTGGCCAGCCAGTCTAGCCAATCAGTGAACTCCAAGTTCAGTGAGAGCATCTGTACTAAAAAATAAGATGGCAAGCAACTCACAAAGGTACCAATGTCCGCCCCTGGCCTCTACACACACACACACACACAGAGGCATATACACACATATACACACCACACAGAGACGAACAAGTCCTTTCCAGAGCTACATGCTCATGCTCAGTTCAGGTTCCTGATACGTGTTCACTTTGCTACCTCGCTCACAGTCATATGTAAGACCCCTGCAAATCTTTCAAAACACAAGGCCTGAAGAAAGACTAACGGTGGGGGGGGGGGGGGCAGCAAAAAAAAAAAAAAAAGGCCAAAAAGCTTTCCATAGTAAGTGATCTCATCTCCATTCTTCCTGCAAGATCCTGAAAACTGTGTTCGGAAAACACTTGGAATAAAAAAGTAGAGGAAAGTGCACTAGTGTTTTTCTTCTCTGGGAGACAGCAGACAAAATGAAATAACTTTGGCAAAGGTAGAGGCACTAGACAAAACAAAGCTGGAAGCCAGGGGATCTCCAGAATGCTCAGAAAAAAATGAAGCCCAGCCAGCAACCGCCGGGAGAGAGCCTTACACCTGGGGCCATGGCTCCCATAGCGTTCATCCGTCTACTCAACGATGCCAAACCTTTACAATTTGCCTGGTACAACTACTGCCCCTGCTGCCTCTGGGCCACAGGAACCTTGGCCGTGTCTAGAATTCAGAGAGAGGGAGACTTTGTTTCTTGGGTGGCTGTAAAAAGAAGTGGATGGCCCACCTCGTGAGACCCTCCTCTCGCAACAGGGCGAAATGTAGGGCTGTGCTGCATGACGTCTCCGTGAAGGCGCTCTGCATGCAAGCATGGCGATGGGAGATTGATCGCTGGAACCAACGGTGCAAGGAAAGAGCTAACTTCCGACCTCTACATGCACACGCACACGCACACACACACACCACTAATGATAATGATACAATAATAGCAAACAAATGTTCATAACAAGAATTTTAAAACAAGTGCATTTAGTACTCTTAACCTCATAATCCCAGCACTCAGGGAGGCAGGGGCAGGTGCATCTCTGTGAGTTCGAGGCCAGCCTCGGTCTATAAAGCAATTCCAGGACAGCCAGGGCTACACAGAGAGACCCTGTCTCAAAAAACAAACAAGCAAACAAACAAACACAAAAATAAATTTAACCTCAACATCATAACTCAGCCTAGCCTACCTTAAACATGCTTAGAACTTTATGTCTGCCTACAGTTTAGTAAAACCATTTAGTACAAGGCCTGTTTTATAATAAAGCATCAAATAGCTCTAGTGGTCTCTTGAGTCTCGTACTGAAGGAGAAAACCAGAATGAATTAAAGAGTATACTTTCAAGCATCACAACCACAGGGAAGAACCGTGAGCTAAACCATAACTTGGGGTTATGGAGCAACAACCACTCTATCGGATGAAAAAGTGCACAGTCTACATGGCCGCACTGGAAGGGCATGAAGAGCTACTGACCCATTGAGTCACAATCCTTCAACTTCTGATTTACCCTACTTGTATATCGTACTGACTCTTTCTCGAGAGGAGTGATATTTCATCTGACAAAGCTTTCACCTTCACACTGCGAGACTGGTCCTATTGTGGCCCTCTCTGACCATGCCCTTCCTCACAAGCGGAGATGTCAACGGCCAAGAAACTGGTCAATATGAAATCCTCATCTCTACCTTTTTAACCAAGCCCCACGCCCCTAGACCGGCCCAAGTGTCCCTAAGTCCAGTTCCAAAGCCTGGGTGTGTCCCTTCTTAGATTTTATCCCAGACTACATCTGGGCATCAGAGGTAAGCAACGGGCACTGTCTGCAGGAGAGGTGGGTATAACCAGTGATGGAGGGTGTGAAAGATGGATCTGGGACAAAAACAGAGTCAGGTATAGAAAAAGCGACATACGTCGCTTCCTGAACTACTCTGGCTCATATAAAACTTGAGAGTCTGGGAATTCTAAACAGAATCTAACCTCCCAAGACACGTTGTTACGTATGTCAAGGTAGGAAGAAAAAAAAAAAACCACCATCGTTGTAAGTTACAAATTTTGCTCAGCGGTTAAGAGCATGGATTGCTCTCGCAGAGGACCCACCCAAGTTTTATTCTCAGCGCCTAGGCTGAGTTTGAACTCCTAGCATCCACACTGGACAGTTCACCCTTGCCTGTTACTTCAGGGGACCTGACACCTCTGTCTTCCTTGGTCACCGGGAGGTTGTGCTCATATACCTCCACACGGATGTGCACATAGCCGTAAAATTAAATTTCGAATTAAAAAAAAATCGCATAAGAAAAGTGTCAAACAAACTATTACATACCCAGATGAAGATCACCGCCCCCAAAATGTGACAGACAGGCCTTTGTTACAAATGAATAGAACGAGGGGAAGAGTCCTACCGGGAATTTTCTTGGCCCAGCCAATCATGTACACGAGCTCCTTGTCGGCCAGCTTGGTGAGGGACATCATCATGGAGGCCTCGGTGAAGGGCATGCTGGGACGGCTCACGAGCACGTTGGGCGGCTCTGCCTCCAGCAGGGTGAGCACCAGCTGCTCTGGGCTCAGGGCGCTCAGCAGCAGCTCCTTCACCCGGGGTACGTGCCCGCTGTTCCTCTTGGCTTTGCTCAGGCACTGCGCCTGCTCACTGGAGCTCCTCTGTCTTCGTACTATGCGGTACCCACACCTTTCTCTCCTGGATCCTAAGGAGGAAAGCAGATGTTGTCAGTCTGGTGGTTTCTCCGCCCAGGATCCCCGCTCACTGAACGACCAGGCTAAAGCAGTGAGGGCCTGAGGCTGTAGGTAAGCAGGTTAAGTGTCCGACTGGCACGTGCTAAGGCCCTGAGTTCGACCCCCAGCCCCAGCACTAAGAGGCAGCTGCGTTGAGAGAGTTGATATCATTCCATTCTATATTTTGGAGTCTGTGAGCCACAGGCAAAGATAACTACGGTCTGGGTGTGTTAACAACACGATGTGTTTGGGAACTTCTGCTCTGTTTCAAGGTTATCACTGGCCACTGAATCTGTTTCTCTTCTAAAGTATGCTGATAGACCCCAGGTTCAAAGATAGGGAGCTAGAAATTCTTCCTCAAGCAGAAAATGAGGAAAAGTCAGGACTTTAACACTGAAATTTCCAGTTAGCAAAAATAATTCGTGCTAACAACATTTTAAAAACACTTACACACACGTATGCATTTTTTTTCTTTTCACATACTTACACAAACAAATATATTTCAAATAAATTAACTGACAAAGCCTGGAAAATACAAAAGGAGGTTAATTTTTGTCATAAATTCTTTCAGTATTTTTCTTTTGTGCTTTCTAAATATTTTTAAGCAAAATCAGAATCATAGTACATTACACTATTTTACAAACTTCTCTTTATCTTATAGAAAACATCACTTGGGGACATGGCACTGTGAATAACAAACAGCAGCAGCCATACAATCTTGGATGCCCTGAGTTCAACACTCGGAACTGAAGTAGAAGAAGCCTTCTAGGCCGGACAGGGTGGCGATGCCTTTGATCCCAGCACTCAGGAGGCAGAGGTGCATGGATCTCTGTGAGTTCGAGGCCAGCCTGGTCTACAGAACAGTGAGTTCCGGAACAGCCGGGGGCTACACAGCAAGACCCTGTGTTGGTAAATAACAACAACAGCAATAAGCTTCCACTGTGTGTGTAGCACACCTCTGTAATCCCACCTCTCCCGCAGCAACATAGAGGATGGAAACAGGAGAGCTGCCCAGACTCCCTTAGGCCAGCCAGCCTAGGGAATGCGGCGCTGAGAAAACAAGAGAGCCACTGCCTCAGTGAGGTAACAAGAGAAATTTCCCAAAAGTTGTCTGATCTCCTTGGATGAGCTATAACACACACACACACATACACACAAAGTCCACAGTCTGTAAAGCATTCCATTCTATTAATATAATATTTATTTTTGAAATCCAGCCCTATTCTGGGCATGGTGGAAGAAGCCTGGAAGCTGAGCCTAGAGGATTACCTCAAATTCCAGGTCAACCGGAGACACACAGTAAGTTCCAGGCTGAACTACCTCGTGAATGCAGGAGATCATGCCTCAAAAAACAAAATTCTAAAAAGCCCCATGTTGGTGTAAGCCCGTGACATTATAATTTCTTTACTAACTGTTACAATGAAAATTGTCTTGTAGATCTATTCAGTTACTTCTTTATAATAAATTCAGAGGAGCCAACCTGCTGAAACAAGGCACACACACATTTAAATTTTATACTTACTAATAGATTGTATGCAGGACGTGGCTCGTTCGTACGGTGTGGTTACACGCAGAGTCTGGGGTCCTCAGGCTTAGTGGTCAGTGATTTTACCAGCTGAGCCAGCTGACCACCCCAAATATATTTCCCTTTGTTAATAAAGTGCTACAGACACTTTAAATCAATTATAGCCCCACAAGTAAAATGAAATGAAATAGATTATCTTTAAAAAGTACTTTTCTGTCTTTTGTATGGTGTACGAGGATAAGGAGTTTAAGAAGAGGTGTCAGGGCTGAGGGCTAGAGTACTGACCTAGCATGCACGAAGCCCTGGGTTTGATTCCCAGCACTACAGGTTGTTCTTGACTACATAGCAAGTTTGAGGCTGCCCTGGGCTAAATGAGACCCTATCTCAAAAAATAAATAAATAAAAATGAGGGCTAGAAGACAGCTCGGTGAGCAAAGTGCTCACTGTGCGAGGATAAAGACGTGGGCTTGACCCCAGCACCAACATGAAAAGGCTGGCTATGTCAGGATATGCCTGTAACCCCAACACTGGGAAGGCAGAGACATGAGGGTCCCCGGGGCTATCTAGGCCAGTCAGTCTAGACAAAAAGGCGAGTTCCAGTATCCGTGAGAAACTGTCTCAGAAAGTAAGCTGGAACCAGGCATGGTGGCACACACCTTTTATCCCTGCACTGGGAGAGGCAGAAGCAAGTGGATCTCTGTGAACTGGAGGCCAGCCTGGTCTACAAAATGAGTCCGGGACAGCCAAGGCTACACGGACAAACCCTGTCTCAAAAAAAAAAAAAAAAAAGTAATGCACATCCACATTGCACGTGTGTGTACATGCAAACATGTATGTACGCCCAAAATTTAAAAATTAACTTTGTCTTAGGAAGAAAAGCTAGGGAATGGCGGTCACCCCAAACAGGAGTCTGGTGCAAAGCTGATTTGTAATGGCTGTTTTATATGGCCTACTGTCACTGGCCCGGCCACCTTCAAGAGTGAAGAGATGGCACCTAATGTGCTGAGCGACTGTCCTGGTGCAGCGATACAAACCAAACGTACGGCCATTCAGCTTTGTTCCTGGATATTTATACAACAGTGTGACTCTATAATGAAGCTATTACCCCTTCCTCCCACCCAAGCCTCCACCCCCGAAGGTGGCCCAGACTAGGTGGGTGTCCTTTCACCCCTTTTAAAAACATCTGAGTGCTTCAGCCTAAAGGGAAGGATCAGAAAAACAGAAAAACAACAACAACAACAACAACAACTCAAGAGGTATGACTCATAGACATCAGAAGTAGAAGAAGACAAGGAAAAGGACAGGAGCCTTCCACAGAGGGCCTCAGAAAGAGTCTGCCTAGCAGGGTATTGAAGCAGATGCTGATAGCCAAACTTTGGGCAGAGTGCAGGGAACCTTATGGAAGACAGGGGAGATAGAAAGACCTGGAGGGGACAGGAGCCCCACAAGGAAACTAACAGAGCCAAAAAAGCAGAGCCCTCAGGGCCTGCAGAGACTGATAAATCAACCAAGGACCATAATGGAAAGGACCTAGATTCTCTGCTCAGATATAGCCCACAGGCAGCTTAGTCTCCATGTGGGTTCCCTAGTAAGGGGAACAGGAGCTTTCACTGGCATGAACTCGGTTGCCTGTTCTTTGATCACCTCCTCCTTGTGAGGTGGCCTTACTAGGCCACAGAGAAAGAGGATCCAGACAGTCCTGAAGAGACCTGATAGGCTAGGGTCAGGTAATAGGGGAGGAAGACCTCCCCTATCAGTGGACTAGGGGAGAGGTATGGGGAGGGGAAAGAGGGAAGAAGAGTAGGATGGGGGTGAGGAGATGAAGGAGGGATACAAAGTGAATAAATTATAATAAATAATAATAATAAGGGAAAAAAGAGGTAACTGGGCTGCAAAGTCTCTGACTTCTTCAGCAGATTAATCTTGTGATGAACTCATAATTCGATGGCTACTGGGAGATAGAGAAAGTGAGGTCTTGTCAGCGGAGTTATTTGTGCTTTCTGCTTAGTGCAGGGCAGAACGCTCATCTGCTTAACACCTCCTAAGCACAAGCTTAAGCACAAGCTCTTGGATTCCCAAAGAGATTAGAAAGCCTCAGCCAGTTTTGTCTTGTTTTGTTTCAGGGTCTCACTCTGTCATCCAGGCTGAACTCAGAGCCACGGCAATCCTCACCATGCCTGGCCTAGGTGAACAATTCTTTACTTCTCTGTACTGAGCCTGGGGAAACCCCCCTGTACCAGAGTCATGATCCATTGGCACCATCCATGAGGAGAGCTGGGGGGTGGGTACCAGACACAGTGCCAGGATCCCCACTTGTCTGCTTGCCGCTCCCCTCGAAACCCAAACAAGCCGATAGCTCAGTTTCAGAGATAAGAAACCCAAGGGCTAGAGGGCCGAAGCTGAAAGAGCAGTCCCCGGAAAGCGAGGAGGCAAAGATGGAAAGCTCCGCAGATGCCAGCTCTGCCTACCAGGAATGCTGCCTTGAAGCTGCCTCTGCGGCCGGCCAACACAAACAATATGAGAATGTGTTCTGACAGCTAAGCTGGAAACGGTTCTCTAAATACATACTCATCTTAAAATTCTGATTAGCTTAAAGCAGAAAGCATGTATTTGCAGTATCTTATCAAAGGGCCAAGGCCTTCTCTCTAAGCATCTCTAGCAACTGCTCCAGTCTCTTTTCTGCGCAGATCTGTAATATGCTATCTCGGGAGTCCCAGGGTCAGTGGCTAAAATAGATCAACAGGGACTGGAGAGGTGGCTCAGCAGCTAAAAGCACCTGCTGGTCTCGCAGAGGATCCAGGTTCAGTTTCCAGCACTCACCTTGGGAGGCTCACGACCATCTCTAACTGTAGGGGATCACCCACACATACTCAAGCCACGTATATACACATAAAACGAAAATAAATAATTCTTTAGCCTCCCCTTCCAAACAAAACAAAACAGAGGAAACAACCTAGACACTTCCAGGGCAATCTGAATTCTGAATCTTCTCAAGTTTAGGGATTTAACCCCCAAATCTCACTCATTCCTAACTCAATAACTAAACCTTTCAACCAGGAAGGGTTTCCTGGAAACAGCTGTCTTCTCCTACTCATATTTCATGTTTACATAAATCTTAATTGTACAACGTAACAGTGATTAAAAACAGGTTTGGGGAGAAGCCCACTCGTTTCTAACACGGGGATAACTGAAGTGGTTGGGACAGAAGTATTCAAGTCTCCGCGAGACTAACCAATACACGATGCACACTGGCCAGGGGGAATGGGGGGAGGGGAGGGTCATGGACATTGGAACGTGTTAGTCAGCTTCCTGCTACCATAGCAAATACCCAAGACGTAAACAGCTTTATATAAAGAAGAAGTCCTCAGTGTTGGAAGTTTCAGGCAGACATGTTGTTTTTTTTTTTTTTTAATATCTGATGTGAGTATCTGACACAGCAGGAGGGAGCCAATAGTCTTGGGGGTTGGGGAGGAACACCTGCTCACCTCAGGGCAGACACAGGCGAGGAGAAAAATAGGGTCCCAAAATCCCTTTGAGGGGCACACCTTCAGTGCCTGAAAGACGGAGCCCTCAGCTTCTCAAAGGCTCTACCACATCCTAATGGAGGCGCCCGGGGATCAAGTCTTGATTGAGCACACAAACCTTTGAAGAGTGTATAGCGAGCAGGATGTCTCACACAGGAAGTGGAGAGAATCATTGACTCTAGCAAGCCAGAGGAATTAAGAGAAGTCCTGCTGACCTTCCACATTTGGTGGGCATTCTAGTCCACGGTACACAGAAAAAGAAAAGGAGTTAGAGAATATTCAGGGAACAGGGTGGTGGGGCTGGAGGGACGGCGCCACGGTTCAGAGCACTTGCTGCTCTTCCAGAGGGCCTGAGTTCAGTTCCCAGCAGCCACCTCAGGTTGCCTGTACAGTTGCCTGTACCTCCAACTCTGATGGCCTCCTCAGGCACCTACACATACATAGCCAAATACAGATATACTTTTTTAAAAAAAATTATTTTTAAACAGAGCTACAAAGAGATGGTCAGGGAGGTGGGGGAAAAGGACATTATTTTTTAAATTTTTCAAACAGAGAGAAGTTACAAGTAGTTACTGGCAAAACAGTGGCTGCCTGAAAAATAAATGCAGGCAGTGACAATGTGAATATACATAATTAAGAAAGTGTGTACGGATGAGTGAATCAAAGGCCAGCCAGGAGAGATGAAGAGATGGCTAGAGAGATGGCTCAGCGGCAGAAAGCATGTACTGCTCTTGCAAAGGAGCCAAGTTTGGTTCCCAGGACCACACAACATGGCCCACAACCCCCGGTAACTCCAGTCCCAGGAGACCCAAAACCTCTAAGTTTTGCTGGCACTGAAGCTTCCATACACCTACCCACACACACATATAGATAATTTTTACAAGAATTTAAGAAGGAAAAAAACTAAAAGAAGATGAATACATAAAATACATTATGTATGTATGTAAACTTTTATCTCTAAGTTGACTGTAAGTCATATGTGTGCATAAGTACAAGTATACACAGTGGTAGATAAAAATCTGTGTCCTGTGTACTTTTCATAGTTCTATCACGTTTCTGACATATTTGTAAATATATACATGAGTGAGAAGCAAATATACTTACATATAACATAAATAATATATATATAATATTTATACAATAAATAAGATCTATAATATATTCATGTTTTCCCCCTACTTCTAGAAAGCTGATGGAGAGATAGAGATTCACCTTCCCCATTGTCACCTGAATAATCCACAAGACAGTCTACTTTCTTGCCACAAGCCTTAACCGTGTATATTTACGCCAGGATGTCACCGTTGGTGGGCAGGTGGGCCTCCAGCCGTCTGAGCATTTCCGTGGCTCAAGTCCCCCAGCCTCTTCCTTGCCCCGCCACTGAGCTGTGCAAGACTCCAGTGCACTGACATCTTCGCCCTGTGCCTATCACTGTCCCCCAACTTTGCCTGCGATCACAAGGAATAACTGGTCCCTCCCTCGGATGGACACAGGTACTCAAAGATACGTCCCATGCCCTAAGTCTCCTCTCTGCCGGGCCATGTCTCCAGCTCCTTGGCTTTCATGGCTTTCACGGGCACCTGGTACAGGAAAAGGGAAGCGAAGACTCACCGCACTTCACCATTCCGACTTCGTAACACTTGCGAAGTCGGCAGGCCTGGCAGCTTTTCCGCCGGTTCTTGTCTATGGTGCACTGATTCGTGGCGGGACAGATATAATCGTTATGTCCTACGGCAGGAGAAAGGGTGACTGATGAAACCTTTCAGTAGACGACACTGGTAACACCAAGCAGCTGAGAGATGGGGGACAGATACAAAGTCAAGCCCAGTGAAGAGGATATCTGGGTACTTTGTGGTACAAAGGATTAGACCGGGGGCTTCGGTGCTAGGCACCCTCCCACTGAGCTGCATGCTCAGCCTCGGTGCCTTTACTCTTTTTTAAAGGTTTACTTACATTTTTACATTTATTTATTTAAAGAGATAAAGGATGTAGGTCAAAGGTCTTACAAGTCAGTTCTCCTTCCATTGTGTGGGTCCTGGGGGATCCAAGTCACGCCTTCAAACTTGGCAGCAAGTGTCTTTAACAGACTGAGCACACCACTAGCCCCTAAATTATTTTTATTGTTTTGTACTTGTGTATGTCTGTGATGCCCGGATTGTCAGTATCAGCAACAAGTGAAACTCATAAATGAGCAAATAATTAAAAAATCCTTTTCAATGCCAAAGGATGCATTGAAAAAAAGGCAAATTATAGGAATAGAATTCTAAAGCTGATGACGTAACTCAGCTGGAAGAGTGCCTATCTGGCACTCATGAGACCTCTGGTTCAGTCCCCAGCACTGCATAAAACTGGGTATGGTGACACATGTCCAGCACTTCAGAGATAAAGACAGGAAGATCAAGTTTCAGGTTATCCTCAGCTACATACCGAGTTAGTGGCCAGCCTGGGCTAAGTTAGACTGTCCCAGAAAGGAAAGAGAGATAGAAAGACAGAGACAGAGAGACAGAGGAGGAGGAAAGGATGGAGAAAGAAGAAAAATGTAATTCTATTAATGGAAAAAAAAAAAGTGCAATGACAGTGTGAAGGGACACGTGCATTTCTGGTCAAACCACAGCGAGGACAGTAAAAGCTAAGAGCATCCTGGTTCTGGAGCCAGGGGAAGAGGGATGGGGGTGGGGTAGACTGTGACTGTACAGCCCGTTCAGAGGGGGGCTGGGAGGCACATTCACTGCCCCGAACCCTGACTATACAAAGATTTCCTTTCCCCTTCTTTATTTAAGTCACAGAATTCTGCATATATATTAGCTCATGCTGGAAAGATATTTTAAAAACTTAGTCCATCTGTGTAACATACATATATATCATTTATCTTTAAAAAGTGTGTGAAGGGGCTGGAGAGATGGCACAGTGGTTGTGCTCTTCCAAAGGACCTGAGTTCGATCCCCAGCATGGCAGCTCACAACTGTCTGCGACTCCAGTTTCAGGGGATCTGACACCCTCACACCAATGCATACAAAATAAATTTAATTTCATTTTTTAAAAAATATATGCGTGAAGTACAATGTTTTATAAGCTTTTCTTGGAGTTTTTTTCTTGAATTACACTCAAGAAAAAACTGTTTGTTTGTTTGTTTGTTTGTTTGTTTGTTTGTTTGTTTGTTTTTCAAGACAGGGTTTCTCTGTAGCCCTGGCTGTCCTAGAACTAGCTCTGTAGACCAGGATGGCCTCAAACTCACAGAAATACACCTGTTCCTGCCTCCTAATTGCTGGGATTAAAGGCGTGTGCCATCACCATCGCCCTAAGGTTAATTTTTTTCTTACGAAGGATAACTTTTCTCAGCTGGAGAAACAGCTCAACAGTTAAAAGCACTGACTGCTCTTCCAGAGAACCCAGGTTCAATTCCCAGCACTTACGTGGAGGCTTACAGCCTTCTGTACCTCTGGTTCCAGGTGATCCAATAACCTCTTCTGGCCTCTGAGGGAATTAGGTAAAAACATACATGCAAACAAAACACTCATGGACATACAATAAACACTTTTTTAAGAGATAGTTTCTTTTTCTTCTTCTTGGGGCACTGAAGTGGCAAGGGGAGCTTTTGGGGGACCGGGGTAATGGCTCAGTGAGTAAAATATTTTCTGCACAAACAGGAGGACCCAAGATGTGATTCCCAAGTAAAATCCAACTGTGGTGGCAGCATGTACCTGTAACCCCCATAGCAAGGTCAAATACAAACGGTAAAAGCTAGGAGTACCTTAGCTCTTGATTTTATTCACTGGATTCCACACACACGCTAGCACACGGCAAAAAGATAATTTAAAAACTAACTCCAATTCTGTAATACACACACATACAGCATTTAGCTTTAAAAAGTATGTTGGGGGCAGGGTTGAGAGAGGTAGATATCTAAATGCTGGCGAACTAGTCTCACTAATCAGTGCAAAGAAACTGTCTCAAAAATTAAGGTGGACAACAATGGATGATACCCAGTGTTGACCTCCGACCTCCACACAAGTGCACATATACCACACACACATACACACACACACACACACACACACACACACACACACACAAGACAGCATCTCTAATACAGCCTCATACATGCATACATACAGAGAGAGAAATGGGAACAGATAAATGTACGTCTGTGCATGCACACACATGGATCTATACATTAATCTATTCTCTAACTCTGTCCCCTGAGAGGACCTGGTACAAGGACCTTCCAAGAGCAAAGAGAAAGAAGCACTCATATCTTTCAGTACTGTCATTTTCCAGTAAGGGGAAGCAGGGTTCCATGAAAAAAAAAAAAAAGAAGAAGAAGAAGAAGAAACAAAAAAAAAAAAACAGCTTATTTTAGAACTAGGGCAGGTAATATGCACAAGTTGCCTGAAACACTTTGTGCCAGAAAGGAGAAAAGTAATGTCCAAAGAAATTACAAGAACATACTGAAAAGACAGGAGTCAGCTTAAGGACTCCTACTGGCCAGGTCTGAGATAATATGAGCCTCAAAAAAATAATAATAATAAAAATAATGATAGCAGCCCATACAGAAAATAAGAACCATAAGTAGTACTGACAGAAATTAATTCATTGGCTTAGTGAAGAATACAGTATTTACTTAACTCGAAAGGTTTCCAAACCAAAAAAAAAAAAAAAAAAAAAAAACATCACAAAGGGGAAAAAAAAAAGAGTAATTTTACAGAACGGATGCCTGGCAGCCTTAATCAAATAATCAAAATGAGCCCACTAGTAACAGAACAAATTGAAATCACATACCACATGACATGAAAGGCGCTACTGAGAAAACAGCGGCATGTCTGGGCTGTCCCTGCTCACGAGCAAGCAGAGTCTAAAGACAGAAGATGAGACAAAGCCAAACTGAGGGATATTATGCAAGATGGCGGCTTCAGTCTTTCAAAGTATCGTGATGATGGAAACAATGCGAGCTCTGAAGGATAGAGACTAAAGACATCACACCTAAACACACAGTCAGTTCTTGATCTTGACCCTTGTGCTAGGCAGGGCATGAGCAAAACTCCAAGCCTGAGCATTAGGTAACATGGTAACTGGCTTCTCGGATTTGACAGCTGTATGGTGTCTACACAGATGCAGGTTAAAGGATTCTGGGTGATGAAGTTTGTTGGCAACACTTGCCCAAACAGTTCCCAGGGAAATGTACTTTATATCATATGTACATAGTTAAAGTTTAAAATTCATTAAAAACAAATATTTTGGCACCAGATATGGTAGAGCACAACTGTAATGCCAGCACTTAGGAGGCAGAAGTGGAGGACTTCAAGGCCAACCTCTCTCTCTCTCTCTCTCTCTCTCTCTCTCTCTCAAACAACTAAATGTTTTCATTGGTTTTCTTTCCTTTTCTTATTTTTTTTCCTTGATTTTTTTTTTCAAGACAAGGTTTCTCTATGTAGCCTTGTCTGTCCTGAAACTTGCTCTGTAGAACAGGCTAGCCTTGGACTCAAATCCACCTCCCTCTGCCCCCGCCCCCCCATGTGCTGGGATTAAAGGGGTGAGCCTTCACCACCTGGTTCCACTGACATTCTTTTTAAAAAATGTAGCTAATTATCTACTCGACTCCTACAGCTTAAGGTCTTCTTCACTCATCTGAGTTGCTGGTAGAATTAGTACATCAGTACACCGTGGTGGCAGTGTAGGAGTCCATTTCCTGCTGTCTATTCAGTGTACCCTTCCCTGAGCTCCTGTAGACATTTGTAGCTCATCACCTATCTCACAGAGTAATGTCAGCTTTCTTCCAGGCCAGGAGTGATGCATTTGTGATTTCAAATCTCTCTCTAATCTGTGTGATAGGGTCTTAATTTGTATTTGTAGGCCAGACATGATGGTGGCACACCTTTAATGCCAGCTGTCCAGAGGTCGATCCCTGTGGATTCAGAGCCACAAAGCCAACTAAAAAGAAAGAGAGAGAAGAACAAGAAGAAAAGATAGATACATAGTTAGATGGTAGATTGACGATAGATAGATGACAGATTGGTTGATAGACAATAGATACATAGATAGATAGATAGATGACAGATAGATAGGTACATAAATAGATGTAAGATATAATATATTTGTATGAATGCCTATAAGTCTGTGTATACTACATGAGTACCAGTGCCCATAGAAATGAGAAAAGGCTATCAGACACCCTGAAAATGAAGTTACAGACAGTTGTGAGCTATCCCATGGTTGCTAGGAATTGAATCCGGGTCCTCAGAAAGAGTAGCCAGTGCCTTAAATATAAATGTAACGACAACTAAATTAAAAGGCTATGAACTTGAATGAGAACAAGGAGGCACATAGGAGGGGTTGAAAGGAGGAAAAGGAAAATGATGTAACTATGATCTCAAAAACGATAAACTCTACATATAAGAAGATATTTTTACCTTAAAAGAAAAAGATCGGAGGGTTCAATAATATGAACATGCTGAATTAAAAACAGCCTAAAGAAATCTTACACAAGTAAAATAAAAGAACCCTCTTCATAACTGCAACAGCTATCAATGTGTGAAAGAATGGGGTCCGGTGATAAATCTGTTAACATGATTGCCTGCTTTGGGGTCCCATGCAATTACTGAAGCTAAGCAAGATGGTGTGTGCCTGTCTTTAAAAACAAACAAATAAATAAATAAATAAATAAATAAATAAATAAAGAAATGATTTTTCAACTATTGCAAAAATTTTATGCCCGCAAAAATATAAAGAGTCTAGTGAAAGGATCATCCTGAGCATTAACTTTCCTTTTTTTTATATTTAGGAGCTGGCATCTGGGCAGACACAATAGAAAAAAAAAAAAAAGAGGATATTTTATTGTCAACAATTGGCACCTATAATATTTCAAAGTCCACAGATATTTCAAGCAGACATGCATTTCCTACACAGCAAAACGGAACAGTCTCTCCTGTTAAAGAGGGCAGCTACTTGTAATAGGTCAAAAGTTCCTTAAGAGGTCATTCCGAGCAAGATACAGGATTCAAGGGCCTAGAGGGACAGCTCCCTCAGCAAAGAGCTTGCTACGGAAGCTGAGTTTGGGTTCCCAGGACCTTTGTGAAAATTGAGGCAGGGTGCTGGGGGAGTCTGAAATTGGAGGTTCCCTGGAGCTCAGTGGCCTGCTATTCTGACCAAATGAGTGAGTTCTAATTTCAGTAAGAGACCCTGTCTCAAAGAGTGTGGTGGGGCCAGCAAGATGGCTGAACCAGTAAAAGGTATTGCCATGCAAACCTGGAGTCCTGAGCTTGCCTCTGACCTCTATACTCAGACCATAACATTCACACCCACATACATCACAAACACATTCACACACACACACACACACACACACACACACACACACACACAAATATTTCTTAAAGATTTTTTTTGTATATGGGTGTTTTGCCTGCATGTATGTCTGTGCACCGTTACATGTGTGCATGGTGCCCATGGGAGCTAGAAGGGGGCATCAGATCCCCTGGGACTGGAGTCGCAGATGGTTGAGAACTGCCAGGTGGGTGCTGGGAATTGAACCTAGGTCCTCTGGAAGAGCAGCCAGTGCTCTTAATCACTGAGCCACCTCTCCAACCACAGTAAATCATTTTTGTTAGTTTGAGACTAAGCTTGGGCTATGCAGAGTTCCAGGCTAGCCTAAGCTATATTGGGGACCCATCTAAAAAACAAGCAAGCAAACAAATACCTTTCAAATCTAAATTTCAGAAAACCTGAATTGCTGGGATCATAGAGTGGGAAACAAGACCTGGCTTTACAATCTATCTCTGCTGCGATCATAAATAAAAACACATATAACTGTATTTTAACACTGCCACTCCATGAATGCTTCCATTAGAGGAGAGGACGCAGGATGGTGGTAAAGCCACAGAGCTAATAAATGAAGGAGCCAGGGCCAACAGGTGGCCATCTGTACAGGACACACTTCAGGCACACACAGAAAGACGGCTCTTTACCTCATGCCAACCCCCAGCCTCCAGATGTTACCAGTGTTTCTCTCCTGCTCTTCTGAGCCCCAACGCCTAGGTAAACCTGTGCCTGAAGCCTCAATGTTGGGAGGCAGACACAGCAGGATTCCAGGGATTTGCCTGGCCAGCCGGTCCAGCCCAGTTGGCAAGCTCCAGGTTCCGTGAGAGACACTGCTCAAAAAGCAGAGATAGAGAGTGCTGCAGAGATGACTCAGTGGTCAAGGGCGCTTGCTGCTCTTAAGAAGGACTCAGGTTCGAGTCCCAGCACCCACATGGCAGCCCATAACCATCTGGAACTCCAGTGCCAGGGGGTCTGATGTCCTGTTTTGGCCTCCCCGGGCACCAGGCACATAGGTGGTACACAGACGTACATACAGGCTAAACCGTCGTACACATAAAGTAAAATAGCGTTTTAAAAATGAAGATTGAGAGCAATGAAGGAAAACACCTAATGTCTATCTGTGGCTTCCACACGCATGCACACACACACGTGCACACGTACCCCAATGCGCGCGCGCACACACACACACACACACACACACACACACACACACACGCCACGCACATGTACTCCTCCACACATGTACCGTTCCACACACCTGTAGCCATGTCCTTCTCCACACACACGCATGCAAGTGCACCCCTCCACGCAATACTCCCCCCCATACATATTAAAAATAAACACCTTTAAAAAATAAATGACTTTTAGCACATCAGGGCTGTAAAGGAAAGCAAGGGAGGGAGGGAGGGAGGGAGACTCTGCAGGGACAGGCTGACTAGCCTGAGAGCCAGGCGTGTTCAGCTTGAACGCTATTAAAAACGTAATTAAAACAACGACGACATAGGCTCTGTGGGTAAAGGCAGTTGCTGCCGAGCATGACGACCTGAGTTCAAGACCTAAGACCCACAAAGTGAAGCAGAGAGCTGACTCCAGCACACTGTCTGTTGATCTCCACATGTGTGCCGTGGCATACTCATGCCCTCCCCTAACACACACACACACACACACACACACACACACACACACACACACTAACTGCAAACATAACACAACAAGTAAAATTCTGCCAGCAAAGACTCCAGTGAAGGTCAAGGAGACAGTCTGATACCAGACTAAAAACTAGATTACAAAGGAAACTCCGTGAGTCCAAGGATAACACACTTCTCAAAGTCTGCTATAGTTAGTTCCTGCTTCCTGACTATTCCCATACATTATATTGATTCTCTTTCCCTGAGGAGCCAATCCACCATCATGACATAAGCATACCCTATATTAGACCTAAGAAAGAACAGACAGACAGATAGGCAGGCAGGCAGGCAGGCAGACGCCCTTTGGAGTTCCTGATGAGCACAGATTTTTTTTTTCCCCCACAAGATTGTAAATAGATATCTTCTCTCCTTTCCTCAAGATTCCCCTCTCCCCAGTTAGGTAACGTCGGGGCAAACTGAGCCCTATGATCTTGAGGTTATGGGGTAGAAACATGCCGTTCAAAGATCCACACACCCCGACTCAACCTACTCCCGAACACACATGTTCGTCTGAGCTGCTAAAGTGCATGAACTGTGCCAGCCAGGCCAACACAGGTGACATTCGTATCAGGTCATCTCTGCAAAGATGCTTGCAAGCCAAAGTGTGAAAACCAGAGACGTGGTCTCTCGGAGCCCTGTACCTTGAATGCTTCTTTTAAAAAAGGCCTTGCATCCTTCACACGACCAGACGCCGTAGTGATAGCCAGACGCATAATCGCTGCACACGGCGCAGAGGTGAGCATCCCTCTTGGCACTTGGACTGGTAACAGGGCTGGCACAACTGCTCCCACTAAGTTTCCTTTTCAGTGTCTCTCTAGGGGGAGCAGAGAAAACAGCCATTGTAGAAGGACACAAAAGAGAGGGAAAAGGCTTTCCAGAAAGGGAAAAAAAAAAATAGTGTGAGTTTTGCCAATTTAATCTCTTTGCCCTCCAGGGCTAGGAATAAATATATTCCAGGAAACCTGCCATCAGATCACCGGGAGCCCCAGCTTGGGGGGAGGGAGGGAGACGATGGAAATCTGTGAGTGCTTCCTCGGTGAGCTCTAGTCCTCAGAAGACTATGAAGGAGGCGGCTCGGGCTGGGGGCAGGGCTGGGATCAGAAGCTCTAAGGAGGAAGAGCCCAGAGGCAGCAGCACGCTCCCACCTACGAGCTGACTAGTTTAGGAATGATGAAAACGAGTTCACCAATATTAGCAGGACCTTGATGAGAATTCAAGAGGTTAAAAAAATAAATTAACCATCCTTTAAAAGAGATGCAAGTGAAAAGCATTCATCTTAAGACGTGACTCACAGTTTTTATATTTGTTTCTTTATCTTACCAATAAAGAAAAAGATTTGAAAGGAAAAAATAAGTTATTCTGCAATGTTTTCTCAGAGGTTGGCTTGGTTTGCTTCGGGGCTCAGGGGTGCTGGTTTGGGGGCTGCTGGGGGTTGGACCCAGAGCCTTGTCACCTGAGAGGGCCCTCCAGCTTCTGCCTCCTCTAAGTATAGTAACAATACTTGAAGTAATGCTTCTGTTTTGTTTTGTTTTGAGACAGGGCCTTTCTATGTAACCCTGGCTGTCCTGGAACTCATGATGTAGACCAGGCTGGCAGATCAAAGGTGGGCATTCCCTCCCACACCCCCCAGGGAATGCATTGAATAGTCAGTGTGCCCAGCTTAGCACTAACTCCTTCTAGAATCCCGTTTCTTCCTGCCGCTTATCCAGCCTCTCCCTCCACAGCCAAATTAGGCTGAAACAATCCGTCCTGTTGCCGTGCATTTGGAGTTCAGTTTGTTTCCACCTCAGACGCTCTCGACACGACCCTCCAGTTAGTCTCTCATTGCTCCTTACACAAAGCACTGCCCTGCCTCATCGCCGAAGCTCACGCCTGTTAGCTTTCCTGGCTTTGCATGGCTACTTCATGAAAGTTGAGGTGTTACCATGGCTACTTTCATCCTGGAGACAATTTGTCATTAACAGTAAGTAACCTGTCACTTTACAGTAAGGCTCTAATCTCCCTGGGAAAAAAAAAGCCATTTAAAACCCAACAACTAAAAAAAATAAAAATAAGAATAAAACCCAACATCTTCCTCCAAACCAAACTGATGCCTGCTGCATCAAGAGAATATCCATTATGGTGGACTCTCTCCACAGTACCCACCCAGGAGCACAACTTTTAATAAGAACTAGACGGTCCGAATAGGACAGACCAACATGTCCCCGGTACCCTACAAATGTAGGTGACAAGATAAAGACCTAGTCTGAAACATGTCTGTCTTCATACTGAACTGTGAAGTGAGGGCCGCGCCGCCTCCGTGGTTTAGATGAGGACTGGAGTTTACCTGCTCACAGGCAAGCCGTGTTCCAGTGATCTTGCTTCACACCAAGAACTCTTCTGAGGCTCCGCGTACAGAATCGATGACTGGCAATGGGTCGCTAGAGGAGAGAGGTGTCCAGAAGTTGGCCATAGCACGTTCGGGCTGGCGGTCTGTCGGATGGGCCCTCCTTCCAGGTTACCGGTGCCGCCAGGGACACTGTAATTCATCACGGCAGGACTGTAGAAGGTCATCGCTGAGTATTCGTGGCGGCTCTCCACGTAGGAAGAAGGGATATAGAGGGGGCCGTGCTCCAGGGTGAGGATGGACTGGCTACAGCTGTAGGAAGCCGGCGAACCAAGGCTTGATGGTGAGTTTTTGATCTCCATCTCGTAAGCAGGCAACAGCTGAGGAAGATCCTTGTAAGCAGAGGTACAGATGGACATTGTGTTCTCAGAGACGCTCCATCAGGAGGAAGGCCTGCAGAGGGAGGCAGATGAGTCTTAGTTCAAGCTGGGAGAATAAATAACAAGAAGAATGCGTTCCTAGCTAGGGGGCAGTGGTGCTTACCTATAACCTTAGCACTCAAGGAGACTGAGGCAGGAGGATTTCTAGCTACAGAGTGAGATGCAATCTCTAAATAAGTAAATGAACAAACAAAATGAGTGAGCGAATGAATGAGAAGAAAAGAGAGGAAGGAAGGAAGGAGACCGGAAATACAATACAGTTGGTACTTGTCTTGCACCCAGGAGGCCTTGACTTTGATCCCCTGCACTGCATGAACCAGGCATAGTGTAAGAGCTTTGTAAACCCAGAATTCAGAAGGTGGAGGCAGAAGGAACAGAAGTTCAAGATTATCCTCTTGTCAGGAGTTCAAGACCGGCATGGAATACATGAAGCTATATCTCAAATAAATAAATAAATAAAGAGAGAAGGAACAGACGGCAGAATGGCTCAGTGGGTGAAAGTGCTTGCTGCTCAGGCCCGACGGCAGGAATTCAATCCCGGAACCCATGGTGGGAGGCAGGCAGCCCTGAAGACTGTCCTGTGGAGACACACACAGCCCACAGCACTCACGTGCCCACACGCCTGTCTCTCTGTGTCTGCCTGTTTCACACACACATAAAATGTTTTATTTTTTTAATCTGAGTATTCATTTTATCCGAACAATGCTAACACACATCTTAGCAAGGGACTCCAAGTGGATCCTGGAAGATACACATGGAAACATTACCTACAGAGGGCTGGAAATGAAAGGTGCAGCACTCTTGTTCTCTACTTTATTCACTTTTTTTTTAAGACAGGCTGTCCTTAAAATACTGATGTAACCAAAGATGACCTTGGATTTCTGACCCGCCTGTCTCTACCCTCCTCCCAAATGGGATGCTATGTGTTCACCAACGAACCTGTGCAATGCAGGGATCAAACTCCTCGACCTGCTAGCCACACCCCTGCCCCTTATTCTAGCCACACCCCTGCCCCTTATTCTAGCCACACCCCTGCCCCTTATTCTAGCCACACCCCTGCCCCTTATTCTAGCCACACCCCTGCCCCTCATTCACTTCTTTATTACGCTATTGTTGCTGAGGTCAACTACAGGAGTTTTTTTTAAAGACACTGTTATTCCATAGGCATGGATGTTTTGCCAGATGTATGTCTGTGTGGTACATATGTGCCCGGTGCCAACAGAGGTGCTAGGATCCCCTCGGACTGCAGCTGCAGATAGCTGTGGTACTTGGATCCAACCATGCGGACACTCGGAATCTCAGTCAAATCAGGTCATCTGGAGAAGAAGCAAACTCTTAACTACTGAGCCCCCTCTCCAGGCCTCAACTATGAGAACTTTTAACCACAATAATTTATCACAAAATTACCTTTAAATTCAAAAACACCAAAATACATATGGTATTTTTTTTCCCCTAGAACTACATAAGGTTCTACTGTAAGCTGTTACTAAAACATAAGCCTAAAGGGGGACAGCAGTGAGTGAGACTATTACAGTTTTACCATATTCAAATATGCCGTAAACTCACAATAACAACAATGAGAAATTTACCACATAAATAGTCTGACCATGGAAACTTCGTCAGCCTATTGCCTCCAAACTTTAAAACCAACCTTCGATATAGGATTTATACAAAATAATAATAATAATAATAATAATAATAATAATAACAACAACAGAATTCCTGAGCTCCTTGCTAAACTCAGTAGAGGGCTTTAGAGAGACGACACGTGACAAAGGTTTTGCTGCAACTTCTGGCCCTGGCAGAGGCCAACAGTAAGTGAGAATCTAGGATGGATTCTTGCCCCCACCAAAGGTTCAGAACAAAATCCCTCAGCAACCTTGCAGCCTGCACGGCAATGACCTTTTCACGGCACCTCTCTAGACCGTGACCCAAAGGTCGAACACTGCAGAGATATCCATTGCACAAGATGCCCTCACCCTGCCAACACCCGGGCACGCTCCGAACCCAGAGTCCTACTTCATGTGCGTGGCCTGGTGGCTGGCAGCCAACCCCGGAACTGCATTTTAGGGAACACCCACTGATGAATCGGCAAGCCTAGATCCTCTAAACCCACAGACATCACTGCGAGTCAATGGCCAAACCTCACCTTGCCCTGCAAGTTCTAAAGCCCTTCAGGATCGTCCTTCCTTGAGTGTTCTCCCTCAGCGCTAAGGGGTCAAAACAACTGTTGCATAGTTTATAATCGCCTCTTCTTATAATTAGTATTTCTTTGCCCTAAACTTCCCTGATTGGAGGTATTGTATAACCGCATGTCCTAATTTGACCTAAACTTGTATAAACTGGCATACCAATAGGAACAGATGTGACAAAGATTCAAAGGTAGGGGAAATTTGGGGTATAATGAAGAGGTCTTTTGGAAGGGCAGCAAGTGCTCTTAGCCACTGAGCAGCCTCTCGAGGCCCAGGACGATCTTAGCCCGGCCCTCCCTATACTGTATCTTCGGTATCTCAGCTCTGTGACCCCACGTCAGTGCACTGTTCAGCTTATCATCTGAGCATGTCAGAGGCTGCCAAGCCCTAAACCAAAACACACTCAAAGCACTTCAGCAACAGGATTTCAACAGTGCACTTTCTGTTGATTGGGGGTGAAACATGAAGTGGTAGTTAGAAATTTAATCTCTTGAACATGACAAGAAGTATAAAAAGCCAAAACAGAAGGTCCAACTTAACAATTGAAAATTAAATCCAAAAATGAGTATAGTCACAGTGGTGTGGATGCTGTCTTCCTTTTTTTTAAAGGTTTATTTATGTATTTGTGTGTGTGTGCGTGTGTCTACAACCGTGGAGGTTATAGACAGGGGATGTCAGATGGCCTCCTCTGTCACTCCCTACCTATTCCTTCTCCTTCCGAACCGAGATCTCAAGTTTTTCTTTACCAGGCCATCAGCCAAAAACTCCAGAACCTCCCTCTTGGAGCTGAGAGTGCAAGCATGGGATGTCTGGCTTATTACACCGGGCCTGGGGTTGGAGCTCTGGTCCTCATGATTGTTTTTAGTCACTGGGTCATCTCTCCAGTCCTACCTTTGTTTTTGTTTTTGTTTGTTTGTTTGTTTGTTTGTTTGTTGAGTGAGTGCTTCGTGTAATCCAGGCTGGTATTGAACTTGCCATGTAAGTAATGATAACCTTGAACTCTTCCACCTCTTCAAGTCTGCAATTACAGATGTACACAACCATACGCAGGATTTGTGGTGCTGTGGACCAAGCCCGGGGCCTTGTGCACGCTGGGTAAACACTCAACCAGTGGAGCCACATCCCAGCCCTTGACGGCCATTCCCATGCAGAATACTGCTGAAATGAGCCAGGTACGGTGGCACATATCTGCCTTCCCAGCACTGGGATGGCAGAGGCAAGGTTTACTGCTGGTGAGTCTGAGGCTAGCTTGCTCTACATATCGAGTTCCTGGCCAGTTAGAGCTATGTACTGTGACTCTGGTTTAAACAAACAAACAACAACAACAACAAAAATCTATCAACAATCAGAAAAACACAAAAGTGCCATCGAGTCTTTCAGAATGCAAACCTCTATAAGGAACAAACACAGCACTCAAAATCGACATATGAAAAGTAATTAAATTCAGGAAATTAAAAGCCAAGAGAATAGTAAATTTGAAACAAATTTGAGCAGAGGACTTGAAGATAATGCTAAGTTAACACAAATATAATTAAATGGTCTGATAAAATGTTAGCATTGTGATCAAGCAAGGTCTTTCTGAACACACAGGTCTTAGCTTTTCATCTCCAAAAGGAATACAGTCAGCGCCCCAGCAGCTGGAAGTTCAGCAGGCGCTACATAGCAACCGTCAAAGCCTCTGCTGTGCTTCCTTCTCTTATTGAAGATTTGCTTTTCTCAGTTTCTGTGTATGAGTGTTTCGCCTGTGGATGTCTGTACAGGAGTGTGTATCTGAGACCCAAGGAAACCAAAAGATCTCCTGGAGTCAGAGTCACAAATGGTTGTTAGATGCCCCGTAGGTGCTGGGAATTGAACTTCTGAAAAAAGCAGCAAGTCCCTTTCACTGCTGAGCTATCTCTCCAGGCCCTGTCAGGCTTCTAAGAAGCATGAAGTACCTGTGTTGAGGAAATAACACAGTCAGTAAAGCATTCACTCTGCAAGTCTGAAGACCCAAGTGCAGTCCAAGAATCCATGTAAAAAGCTACTCGATGGTCCATACCAGACTGTTGAGAGACCCTGTCTCAAAAAAAAAATAAATAAATAAGCGAGGTGGAGACAGGTGAGATGGCTCAGGGGGTAAAATCTCTCGCTTTCACTATTCAGCTGGCAAGTGAACATGGGATTTAAGACCAGCAGAGAACTGATCCCTTCACCGACAGCTGACGCGCACACCCTCCCGGTCAGCAGCTCAAAGGACCCTGTCAGGTACCTGCCGATGAAAGGCGAGTGCAGACATCATTCAGGTTATAAGAAGCTACCACAGTGGCATCACCTGGAATACAGAGGCCTCGTACGCTGGCATGCCATCCATCAACTGCTCTAGTTTTCCTACCAAGTCCCAGCACACTCAGTACCATCGAGAACAGACGGTCTTTATAGAACTAGGGTTACCCTCTGGCTGAATATCTTTTTGACACACCCACGTGGCTATGCATGGCAGGCTAAGGTCCTAGCCAACACAGTTTGGACCTCAAGCTAAAAAAATAATTTTTTAACCCCCCAGATACTGACAGTGGTTCTTGTGGAGAAGAAAAGGGTTGGCCCTGGAAATGACATGATGTTCCAAAACGAGCAGACAGACCTACAGATGTAGCTGAAGGACAGAAGTCAGTGACCACTCCGGCCCCGTGGACCCACGACACCGGACCCCAGGCTCCTCAATGCCTCAAGCCACGTCTCAGACAAGTCACATAAATTCCTTGGATTTTCATGTCGTTTGCAGTAGAAATGAGAAAATATTATGG